AATAAAGTTTTGATTATGGGCAAATTTTCCCTTTTTTTTTTTAAGTATGTGTGAATATGCTATACATTTATATATACTGTGAATGTGAATTTGGTTTAAACATTTTAAATAGTGTATTCTGATTAGTTTGTGTCTCATTTCAAGAATAGAAACCCTAAATATTTGATTTTTAGTCATTTTCAAAATTGTTATGAATGAGCTAAATAATTACAAATGCAAAGAAGTCCATTATTTGTTAATTCAAAATACAGTTTTGCCTTTGTAACTATGGAAACACATATTTATAGAAATACATATTTAATGCAGTAGAAATCACAGTGTAATGCCTTGGATTCATGTGGCCCTAACATACTGCATAATTTATTACAATAACTGCAGCTGGGGTTGAGTTATAGGAAGCTCCTTTTGGAGTAGAAAATTTGAGAGGAGGAATCAGGAGTAGCATGATTTACTCCAGGATATCCTGGCTGGTGATGGTAGATGGTGTTGAATTCTCTGGTCCAGACAGGTAAGCACTCCTGACTACAGATGTGTGTTGAGTGGCCTTGGTGTCTCATTGTCATTTTTATAGCTTATGAAGTGACCCTGGGGAACTAGGAACTAGACTGTATCTTTGCCTCTCTAGCCACTATCCTACTGCTCTCTCGAGGGGGAAGATAACCTCTTCTATTTTACTCGTTAACTTTAAGGCAAGTACTTAAGACAGGCATTTCCTATTAAGAGGTGTTTCTACATATACACCCCCCATCGGAGAGACTGATTCTTTAACATGTTGACTCATATATCACAGGAATGTTGCAGGAAAACTAAAGAACTCTGGAAAGTTTGGGGTGTATTTAATATATGGAGAAGTAAATAACAGATGTTCCCGAACTTTCTTGGTTTATGGCATCTTTAGAGTTTCAGTAATTTTTTCATGGAGTCCCTTGGCCAAAGGAAATACCTAACAGTTAGATTTATTTATTTATTTGAGGAAGATTAGCCCTGAGCTAACTACTGCTAATCCTTCTCTTTTTGCTGAGGAAGACTGCCCCTGAGCTAACATCCATGCCCATCTTCCTCTACTTTATATGTGGGATACCTACCACAGCATGGCTTTTGCCACGCGGTGCCGTGTCCGCACCTGGGATCTGAACTGGCGAACCCCGGGCCGCTGAAAAGCGGAATGTGCGAACTTAACTGCTGAGCCACTGGGCCGGCCCCATACATTTATTTATTTTTAAAGATTTTATTTTTCCTTTTTCTCCCCAAAGCCCCCTGGTACATAGTTGTGTATTTTTAGTTGTGGGTCCTTCTAGTTGTGGCATGTGGGATACCGCCTGGCTTGATGAGTGGTGCTATGTCTGCTCCCATGGCGAAACCCTGGGCTACCCAAGCGGAGCTCTTGAACTTAACCACTAGGCCATGGGGCTGACCCCAGTTAGATGTATTTAGTTAGGTTCTAATAACTTTAATAGCTGTTGGAAAAATACCATAGGGGCTGGCCCTATGGCCAAGTGGTTAAGTTTGCGCACTCTGCATCAGTGGCCCAGGGTTTCACCGGTTTGATTCCTGGGTGCAGACCTAGCACCGCTCATCAGGCCATGCTGAGGCGGCGTCCCACGTACCACAACTAGGAAGACCCACAACTAAAATATATAAAACTGTGTACTGGGCGGCATTGGGAGAAGTAAAAATAAAATCTTAAAAAAAACCCAGTAAATTAAAACAAAAGTGATCATTTTTTATCTTAAATGATCACAATTATTAATGGAATCAGTGTGCCTTTTGGGCACTGCACAGTTTCTCAAAATTGGGATCAGATTGGACACTGCCATCTTCATTTCTGCCACATTGATGTTTGCATAGTACTTGCTTTTTATTACAGCAATGCCCCCAAACCCAGCTTCACAAAGATATGACATCATAGAAAGGAATGTGGTGCCAACTAAGGTAACAATACCTGGAACTATAAGTTTGCATGGTATCCAAAAGATGCTGAGTATCACTGTTTTTCTCATGGTGCCCCAAAGTGCCTCAATTTGCACAATTTAGGAACTCTGGCTCCGAGTAGAGCCAGTGGGGATGACGGGCTAGTGATATGGAAAGGAGCAAATCCTGTGATGAGTAATCTAGAGGGCAAATCCCTGACAATTTCCTTGAAGAAAGTGTACTTTAAAGAACGTATCTAAGGATTGCGTTATAGAGACGCTTGGCGCTGGGAACTGAATGGTGTAGTAAGCAGTATTACTGGGTTTGGAAACTGCTCAATGGAACGCTAGGACTGTTCTAATCTTCAAGGGCTGCTATATACATTATTACTGACCGCTTTTCTTTAATACTGTTATGTATATTGACTTCATTTTTTTATGTAAATATTTTTTAAAGGAAACTATATTTCTTCCACAAATAGAAAAACCAGTTACATAAAGATAAAATAAAATGAAATTCTTGGCTTCCGACCTGATCAGATGACAAATGGTTTCTTGTCTGGTTGCCCCTCTAAGTCATCTGATAAAGTTCTAATTTTTTTTGAGATATGTAAATACCATAAAATTCAACATTTTACAATGTAGAATTCAATGGTTTTTAGTGTATTCATAAGGTTTTGCAACCATCACCACTGTCTAATCCTAGACCATTTTCATAATCCCAAATCACTCCCAGTTCCTTCCACCTTCCAGCTCCTGGCACCATTAATAGAATTTCTATCTCCATGGATTTGCCTATTCTGGACAGTTTACATAAATGGGATTATATAATATGTGGCCTTTTGTGTCTGGCTTCTTTCAGTTAGCATAATGTTTATGATGGCCATCCATGCTGTAGCATGTATCAATACTTTTTTCTAACTGAATAATATTCTGTTGTAAGGATATACATTTTGTTTATCCATTCCTCAGTTGATGGACAGTTGGGTTGGTTTCACTTTTTGGCTACTACAGATAATGCTGCTATGAACATTCATGTACAAGGTTTTATGTAGACATTTTAAAGATTTTATTTTTCCTGTTTCTCCCCAAAGCCCCCCGGTACATAGTTGTGTATTTTTAGTTGTGGGTCCTTCTAGTTGTGGCATGTGGGAAGCTGCCTCAGCATGGCTTGAGGAGCGGTGCCATCCATGTCCGTGCCCAGGATCTGAACCAGCGAAACCCAGGGCCGCCAAAGCAGAGCACAGGAACTTAACCACTCGGCCACGGGGCCGGCCCCTGTGTAGACATTTTAAATTCTCTTGGGTATATACCTAAGCATGGAATTGCTGGGTCATATAGCAATTCTGTTTTTAGCTCTTTGAGGAATTGCCTGTTTTCTGAAGAGGCTGCACCATTTTACATTCCTACTAGCAATGCACAAGGGTTCCAATTTCTCCACATCCTCGACAACACTTGTTATTGTCTCTTTTTGATTATAGCCATCTTAGAGTGTGACGAATTGTTTTATTGTGGTTTTGATTCACATTTCCCTGATGACTAATGACATTGACCATCTTTTCATGTGCTTATTGGACATTTGTGTATCTTCTTTGGAGAACTGTCTATTCAGATCCTTTGCCCATTTTTAATTGGGTTGTCTTTTTTTTTTTTAAAGATTTTATTTTTTCCTTTTTCTCCCCAAAGCCCCCCGGTACATAGTTGTGTATTCTTCGTTGTGGGTTCCTCTAGTTGTGGCATGTGGGACGCTGCCTCAGCGTGGTCTGACGAGCAGTGCCATGTCCGCGCCCAGGATTCGAACCGACGAAACACTGGGCCGCCTGCAGCGGAGCGCACGAACGTAACCACTCGGCCACGGGGCCATCCCCTGGGTTGTCTTTTTATTGTGTGTTGTAAGAGTTCTTATATATTCTAGATATAAATCTCTTATGTATATGATTTGCAAATATTTTCTCCCATTCTGTGTGTGGCTTTTTATCTTTTGTCCTTAGAAACACCAACATTTTGAATTTTTATGAAGTCGAATTTATCGATTTTTTTGGTCATTTCTTATGCTTTTGGCGTCATGTCTAAGAAATCATTGCTTAATCCAAGGTCACGGAGATTCATGCCTGTTTTCTTCTAAGAGGTTTATAATTTTAGTTCTTACATTTAGGTTTGATCCATTTTGAATTAATTTTTGCATATGGTGTGAGGCAGTGGTCCAACTTCATTCTCTAATTCTTTTTAATGGCAGCATAATAGTTTTTGGTATGAAAGTACCATAATTTATTCAGCATTATCCTATTGAAGGGCACTTTGTTTCTAGTTTTTTCCACTATAATCAAAGCCACTATAAATACATTTAAATATGTCCTTAATAATGGTGCTTTTATTTCTGTGGGTTAGAGTTCCAGGAGTGGATTGCTGGATGAAAAGGCAATTTTTTTTTTTTTTTGAGGAAGATTAGCCCTGAGCTAACATCTGCTGCCAATCCTCCTCTTTTTGCTGAGGAAGACTGGCCCTGAGCTAACATCCATGCCCATCTTCCTCTACTTTATATGTGGGACACCTACCACAGCATGGCTTGCCAAGTGGTGCCGTGTCTGCACCCAGGATCCGAACTGGTGAACCCTGGGCCACCAAAGTAGAACGTGAGCACTTAACCACTGTGCCACCGGGCAGGCCCTGACAAATGTATTTTCGATTTTAACAGGTGATGCCAGATTACTTTCCACTAGCAATATATGAAAATATTCTCCCCAATCTCTATCTCTTCTATTAATAAATGGAATCTAAATTTGTTGCCATTTTGATGATTGTAAGGTTATATATCATTGTTACTCTAATTTACATATCTGATTACTGATGAGTTTGGAAATGGAAAGAAGCCAGAATAAGCTACTATCTTCCTAGAATGCCTTCTCATTTGCTTTTTCTTTTACAATAAGAAAAAATTCTCCCTATTATAAATATGGCTAAAAATAGTTGGAATATAGTTACCTGTTGCTGCTGTAACAAATTACCACAAATCTGTGCCTTAAAACAACATAAATATATTATCTTACAGTTCTGGAGGTCAGAAGTCCAAAATGGAATCCTTGGGGCTGAAATCAAGGTGTCAGTGGGGCTACATGCCATCTGGAGGCTCTAGGGAACAGTAAGTTTTCCTCCTCTTTTCCACCTTCTAGAGGCTGCCTGCATTCCTTGGTTCATGACCCCACATCACTCTGACCTCTACTTTTGTCATCATACCTCCTCTGACTCTGACTTCCCACTTTCCTCTTATAAGGCCCCTTGTGATTACAGTGGGCTTATCTGGATAATCCAGGATAATCTCCCTATTTCAGGATCCTTGATTTAATTACGTCTACAAAGTCCCTTTTGCCATTTAAGGAACATATTTTCAGGTTCTGGGGATTAGAATGTGGACATCTTTAGGGTGCCATTACTCTGCCTATCACAGAAAACAAAGTTTTAAAATTCTACCAGCCTGGTGGCATAGTGGCTAAGTTCGCACACTCTGCCAAGGGTTCGTGGGTTCAGATCCCAAGCGTGGTGGTGGCATCCTACATAAATTAGAGGAAGATTGGCACAGATGTTAGCTCAGCGACAATCTTCCTCGAGCAAAACGAGGAAGATTGGCAACAGATGTTAGCTCAGGGCCAGTCTTCCTCACAAAAAAAAAATAAATAAAGTAAAACAAAATAAAATTCTACCCCAGATTTGAAAACAGATTCTGGAAAGATGTAGTTGTAATTTTCAATGGAAAAAACTTAAATCTTTGCCTGAAAGGGTTAGAGTTCACTATTGCATTTTACAAAGGAAAAACACTACTTTTATAGAATAATGACCTCACTTTATAATCTTTTAGGATTTTACAGCTACATGTTCACAACTAAAAGCATAAAGAATTATATCAAGTTAAGATATTTGCTATCGATCCAGGCTCAAATAGCCCTTGAGTTTTGTTTCTTTTTTTTTAATTGCAGTAACATTGGTTTATAGCATTATATAAATTTCAGGTGTACATTGTTATATATTTCGATTTCTGTGTAGATTACATCATGTTTACCACCCAGGGACTAATTACAACCCATCACCATACACATGTGCCTAATCACCCCTTTTGCCCTCCTCTCTCCTCCCTTCCCCTCTGATAACCACCAATCCAATCTCTGTCTCTATGTGATTCTTTGTTATTTTTATGTTCTATTTATAAGTGAGATTATATGGTATTTGACTTTCTTCATCTGACTTATTTTGCTTAGCATAATACCCTCAAGGTCCATCCATGTTGTCACAAATGGCCAGATTTCATCCTTATTTATGGCTGAGTAGTATTCCATTGTGTATATATACCACATTTTCTTTACCCAGTCACGCCTTGATGGGCAAGTAGGTTGCTTCAAAGTCTTGGCTATTGTGAATAATGCTGCAATGAACAAAGGGGTGCATGTATCTTTACACATTCATGTTTTCATGTTCTTTGGGTAAATACCCAGCAGTGGAATACCTGGATTGTATGGTAGTTCTAGTCTCAATTTTTTTTTCTTGAGGAAGATTAGCCCTGAGCTAACATCTGCTGCCAATCCTCCTCTTTTTGCTGAGGAAGACTCACCCTGAGCTCACATCTGTGCCCATCTTCCTCTACTTTATATGTAGGACGCCTGCCACAGCATGGCTTGACAAGCGGTGCGTAGGTCTGCACCCGGGATCTGAACTGGTGAACCCCAGGCTGCCAAAGTGGAACCTGTGAACTTAACCCCTGTGCCACCAGGCTGGCCCACTAGTTATCCCACCCCCCCTACTGTTTCCCAAAGTGGCTGCACCAGTTTGCACTCCCACCAGCAGTGTATCAGAGTTCCCTTTTCTCCACATCCTCTCCAACATTTATTATTTCCTGTCTTGTTAATTATAGCCATTCTGACGGGAGTGAGGTGATATCTCATGATAGTTTTGATTTGCATTTCCCTGATAGTGATGTTAAATATCCTTTCATGTGCCTATTGGCCATCTGTATATTTTCTTTGGAGAAATGTCTGTTCAGATTTTTCCCATTTTTAAGTTGGGTTGTTAGTTTTTTTGTTGTTAAGATGTATGAGTTCTTTATATATTTTGGATATTAACCCTTATCAGATATATGGTTTGCAAATATCTTCTACCAATTGTAGGGTGGTCTTTTTGTTTTGTTAATGGTTCCCTTTGCTGTGCAGAAGCCTTTTAGTTTGATGTAGTCTCATTTGTTTATTTTTTCTATTGTTTCCTTTGCCCAGTCAGACATGGTACTTGAAAATATGCAGCTAAGACTGATATTGAAGAGTGTATTGCCTATGTTTTCTTCTAGAATTTTTGTGGTTGCAGGTCTTATATTTAACCCATTTTGAGTTAATTTTTGTGTATGGTAAAAGATAATGGTCTACTTTCATTCTTTTGCATGTGGCTGTCCAGTTTTCCCAACACCATTTATTGAAGAGGCTTTCCTTTCTCCATTGTTGTTGGTTCCTTTGTGAAAAATTAGCTGTCCATAGATGTGTGATTTTATTTCTGGGCTCTCAGTTATGTTCCATTGATCTGTGTGTCTGTTTTTGTGTGATAACTATGCTGTTTTGGTTACTACAGTTTTGTAGTATATTTTGAAATCAAGGAGTGTGATACCTCCAGCTTTGTTCTTTTTTCTCAGGATTCCTTTGGCTATTGAGGGTCTTGTGTTGTTCCATATAAATTTTAGGATTCTTTGTTCTATTTCTGTGAAAAGTATTGTTGGAACTTTGATAGGGATTGCATTGAATCTGTAGATTGCTTTGGGTAGTATGGACATTTTAACTATGTTAATTCTTCCAATCCAAGAGCACGGAATATCTTTCCATTTCTTTGTGTCTTCCTCAATTTCTTTCAACAATGTTTTATAGTTTTCAGCGTACAGATCTTTCACCTCTTTGGTTAAGTTTATTCCTAGGTATTTTATTCTTTTTGTTGCAATTGTAAATGGGATTGTATTCTTAATTTCTCTTTCTGCTACTTTGTTGTTAGTGTACAGAAACACAACTGATTTTTGTATGTTGATTTTGTATCCTGCAACTTTACCATATTCATTTATTATTTCTTAAAGTTTTTTAGTGGATTCTTAGGGTTTTCTATATATAAAATCATGTCATCTGAAAATAGTGACAGTTTTACTTCTTCCTTTCCAATTTAGATCCCTTTTATTTATTTTTCTTGTCTGGTTGCTCTGGCTAGGACTTCCAATACTATGTTAAATAAGAGTGGTGAAAGTGGACATCTGGTTCCTGTTCTTAGAGGGATAAATTTCAGTTTTTCTCCACTGAGAATGATATTAGCTGTGGGTTTGTCACATATGGCCTTTATTATGTTGAAGTATTTTCCTTCTGTACCCATTTTATTTAGAGTTTTTATGATAAATGGATGCTGTATCTTGTCAAATGCTTTCTCTGCATCTATCAAGATGATCGTGTGATTCTTATTCTTCATTTTGTTAATGTGGTGTATCATGTTCATTGATTTGTGGCTGTTGAACCATCCCTGCACCCCTGGAATAAATCTCACTTGATCATGGTGTATGATCTTTTTAATGTGTTGTTGTATTCGATTTGCTAGTATTTTGTTGAGGATTTTTGCATTGATGATCATCAGTCATATTGGCCTGTAATTTTCTTTTTTTGTGTTGTCCTTATCTGGTTTTGGTATCAGGGTAATGTTGGCTTCATAGAATGAGTTTGGAAGCTTCCTCTCCTCTTCAATTTTTTGGAAGAGTTTGAGAAGGATAGGTATTATGTCTTTGAATGTTTGATAGAGTTCACCAGGGAAGACATCTTGTCCTGGACTTTTGTTTTTTGGGAGGTTTTTATTACTATTTTGATCTCCTTACTGATGATTGGCCTATTCAAATTCTCTATTTCTTCTTGATTCAGTTTTGGAAGGTTGTATGATTCTAGGAATTTATCTATTTCTTCTAGATTATCCAGTTTGTTGGTGTACAGCTTTTTGTAGTATTCTTTTATAATCTTTTGTATTTCTGAGGTGTCTGTTGTAATTTCTCCTCTTTCATTTCCGATTTTATTTATTTCAGCTTTCTCTCTTTTTTTCTTGGTGAGTCTAGCTAAAGGTTTGTCAGTTTTGTTTATCTTTTCAAAGAAACAGCTCTTAGTTTCATTGATTTTTTTCTATTTTTTTATAGTCTCTATTTCATTTATTTCTACTCTGATTTTTATTATTTCATTCCTTCTATTGATTTTGGGCTTTGTTTGTTCTTCTTTTTCCAGTTCCTTTAGGTGCACTGTTAGATTTATTTGGGATTTTTCTTGTTTGTTGAGATAGTCCTGTATTGCTATAAACTTCCCTCTTAGAACCACTTTTGCTGTATGTATCCCATAAGTTTTGGCATGTTGTATTTTCATTTTCATTTGTCTCCAGGTCTTTTTTTTATTTCTCCTTTGATTTCTTCATTGACCCAATCATTGTTGAGTAGCATTTTGTTTAATCTCCATGTATTTGTGGCTTTTCTGATTTTATTCCTGTAGTTGATTTCTAGTCTCATACCATTGTGGTCAGAAAAGATGCTTGGTGTTATTTCAATTTTCTTAAATTTATTGAGACTTGTTTTGTGGCCTAATATGTGATCTATCCTGGAGAATGTTCCATGTGAATTTGAAAAGAATGTGTATTCTGTGGGTTTTGGATGGAATGTTTTGTATATATCTACTAAGTCCATCTAGTCTAATGTATCATTTAAGGCCCATGTTGCCTTATTGATCTTCTGTTTGGATGATCTCTCCATTAGTGTAAGCGGAGTGTTAAAGTCCACTAGTATTATTGTGTTACTGTCTATTTCCTTTTATGTCTAATTGCTTTATATAATTAGGTGCTCCTATGTTGGGTGCATAGCTGTTTCCAAGTGTTATAGCCTCTTGTTGGATCATTCCCTTTATTGTTATGTAGTGCCCTTCTTTGTCTCTTGTTACAGTTTTTGTTTTAAAGTCTATTTTGTCAGATATAAGTATTGCTACCCCAACTTTCTTTTCATTGCCATTTGCATGGAGTATCTTTTTCCATCCCTTCACTTTCAGTTTGTGAGTGCCTTTAGGTCTGAAGTGTGTCTCTTCTATGCAGCATATATATGGGTCTTGTTTTTTCATCCGATCAGCCACCCTATGTATTTTGATTGGAGCATTTAGTTTATTGACATTTAAAGTAGCTATTGATAAGTATGTACTTATTGCCATTTTGTTACTTTTTTTTCTGAGTGTTTTAGTAGTTCTTCTCTGTTCCTTTCTTCTTCTCTTGCTCTCTTCCCTTGTGATTTGATGGTTTTCTTTAGTATTATGTTTGGGTTCCTTTCTCTTAATTTTTTATGTATTTATTATAGGTTTCTGGTTTGTGATTACCATCAGGTTCATATATAATAACCTAATATACAGCAATCTATATTAAGTTGATGGTCTCTTTAGTTTGACCTCTTTCTAAAAGCTCTACTCTTTTACACCCCTCCTCCCACATTTTATGTTTTTAATATCATATCTAACCTCTTTTTTGGTGTGTGTCTGTTACCCTCTTATCATGGAAACAGATAATTTTAGTACTTTTATCTTTTGACCTTTATATTATCTTCATAGGTGGTTGATCTGCTACCTTTACTGTATATTTGCCTTTACCAGTGACTTTATTGCTTTTATTTTTTTGATAACTTTCTTATTCCTATTTGTGGGCCTCTCTTTCCCACTTAATTAAGTCCCTTTAGCATTTCTCATAGGGCTGGTTTCTTGGTGATAAACTCCTTTAGTTTTTGCTTGTCTGGGGAACTCTTTCTCTCTCCTTCCATTCTGGGAATGATAAGCTTGCTAGGTAGAATATTGTTGGCTGTAGGTTTTTTTCCTTTCAGCACTTTAAATATATTGTGCCACTCCCTTCTAGTCTGTAAGATTTCTGCTGAGAAGTCAGCTGATAGCCTTATGGGGTTTCCTTTGTATGTAACTTGTTGCCTTTCTCTTATGACTTTTGGGATTCTCTCTTTATCTTCAATTCTTAACATTTTAATTATAATGTGTCTTGGTGTGGGCCTCTTTGGGTTTACCTTGTTTGGTGCTCTCTGTGCTTCTTGTACCTGGATGTCTATTTCCTTCATTAAGTTAGGAAAGTTTTCAGCTATTATTTCTTCAAATAGATTCGCTGCCCCTTTGTCTCTGTCTTCTCCTTCTGGGACACCTATCATACAGATGTTAGTGTGCTTGAGGTTGTCCCAGGTGTCCCTTAGACTGTTTTGTTCTTTTTAATTCTTTTTTCTTTTATCTGTTCAGCTTGGGTGATTTCCTCTAGTCTTTCATCCAGCTCACTGATCCATTCTTCTGTATCATCTACTCTGCCATTGAGTCCCTTTAGTGAATTTTTCATTTCCAGTATTGTATTCTTCATTCCTGATTGTTTTTTTTTTTAAATATTTTCCAGTTCTTTGTTGAAATTCTCACTGAGTTCATCCATTCTTCTCCCAAGATCAGAGAGCATCATTATGACTTTTTGTTTGAACTCTTTGTTAGGAAGATTGTTTATTTCTGTTTTGTTTAGTTCTTTTTCTGGGGTTTTGTCCTCTTCCCTTATTTATAACCTATTCCTTTGTCTTGAGCCTTGTTTCTAAGAGGATGCCAGGATAGCTAAGTTTATCTCTGTTCTACATATTCTGGCTCAGTTCCCCCCCTAATGTACCAGGTCTACTGTTATTTTCTTGCCTAGCGAAACCTCACCTTAGGAAAAAATCAGATAAGTACTGTCCTGTAAGCTTTAATTAAAAGCCGACATTTTAAATTATTCTTAGGGAAGGAGTTTTAGTTTTGATTATTTAACAGGAACAGAAATCAGAGCTGCCACTGCATTCTGGACCTGGGGTTCAGCAGACATCAGCTTCAGCTCTGCTCAGTGTTTTGTGTTTGTGTTTTAAGTCCATGAATGTCTTTTTCATTTTCTCATTTTGCATTTTATATATTGTGCTATGTATTTAAAAGAAGGGGGTGTGTAAAAGGATGACCCTACTGTGCCATCTTTGTCGTCTTTATATTAATTTGTGTATTAAATAGAAGTTGTGTATTTTTCTTTATTTGCAGCAAGATTTACTAATTAAAATGCCAGTATATGCTTATTTTTATTTTTTTCATGTGACCTACTTTTTTTTTTTCCTGAGGAAGATTCACCCTGAGCTAACATCCACTGCCTATCTTCCTCTTTTTTTTTGTTATGTGAACTGCAGCCACAGCATGGCCACTGACACACAAGTGGTGTAGGTCCACACCTGGAAACTGAACCTGGGATGCTGAAGTGGAGTGTGCCAAACTTAACCACTAGGCCAAGAGGGCTGGCCCTGACTTAAAAAATTTTTACTAAACATAGCATGTATAAAATTGCATGTCACTAAATGTGTCTTTTATTGGATCTGTAAATTTTCAGAGATACCTTTTTTATGGGAAAGCAAGATAATGGTTAGAACAGGCTTCAGTCAGATATACCTGGGCTTGAAACAAGTTCTAATGGTTAATGCTTGTGTGACCTTGGGCAAAATAAGATATCAATTTCTACTTAATGGAGTTGTTATGAATATAAAATGAAATAACATGTATAAAGTGCTTAGCACAATACATGATGCATAGTGAGTGCTCTGTTAATAGTAATTTTTTTTAAATAAAAAGGATCCTATCCATTCAAAATCAAGTGCTATCAAGTTCTATTTTTCTCTCCCAACTTATATACCCACCTTGTTACCACATTGGAGCATATTCATGTTAACTATTGCTGCAAAGCAAGCTGCCCCCAAATTTGGTGGCTTAAAGTAATGATGATTTATTATTTCTCAAGTTTTGTAGGTTGGTCTTACCTGGGCTCATTCATGTCTGCATTCAGCTGGAGGCTCAGCTGGACTGGAAGATCCAAGATGGCTTCGGTCACATGTCCAGCAGCTGGTGCTGGCTGTCAACTGGGATATCAGTTCTTCTCTGTGTGGCCTCCTATGCTCCAGTAAGCTAGTCTGGCTTCCTTACAAGGCAGTCTTGGGGCCATGTTTACAAAATAAAACATCAGTTTAACACAAGGAAGGTAAAGCAAATGATTCATAGCCAATGATCACCTTGACAAGTTGTAAACTTCAGAGAACAAAAACACAAGGAATTTGTGTTAAGTTCTCTTGCGTTCTTTTCCATAATATTAAGGATCAGCCACCCCAGAGTGGTATCTAGGTGTGGATGAGGCTTCTTAGGGGTAGTTCCTTAAGTACCGCAACTAAAATACAGTACACTTCTTGATCTGAAGACCTGTGAACTAAAGACAAGTTGTTTGCGAATGTAACCACTCAGCAACAGGGCCGGCCCCCATTTTTAGGATTCTTCTTGAAGCTCTGAGAAGAGCTGTGGAAATTTATCAATACTGTTTCTAATAGTATTAAGTAAGAAAAGAAGTTATTGTGGCAAAAATATCTCAAACAGGAAACCTTAACCTTGAGGTCTGTGAACACCTGACATTTGTGTATTGGCTCAGTTACTGAGAATGTTCACAGCTCTTCTCAGAGCTTCAAGAAGAATCCTAAAAATGGGGGCCGGCCCTGTTGCTGAGTGGTTACATTCGCAAACAACTTGTCTTTAGTTCACAGGTCTTCAGATCAAGAAGTGTACTGTATTTTAGTTGCGGTACTTAAGGAACTACCCCTAAGAAGCCTCATCCACACCTAGATCTGATTTGGATGATAGATCTTGGGCTTTGAGCTGATGCTATAATGGGATAAAATTTCTGGAAGACTTGGGAGGAGGTAAGTGTAGTTTGCATGTGGGAGGGACATGAATCCTTGGGGGCCAGAGGTCAGACTTTGGTAGCCAGCTTCCAAGATGACCTTCCATTATCTGTACCTCCTAATAGTCACATCCTGTGTAATCCCTCCCATGTTGTATCAGAGTTGATCTGTGTGATCTAGGAAATATAGCAAATGTGATAGTATGTGACTTCTGAGGCTACGTTATAAAAGACACTGACTTCTGTCTGGGTTGCCTGCTTGTGCGTGCATGTGTATGCTCTCTCTCTCTTTTGAATCACTTGCAGCATTTCCTCCAGCCCCAGAGAAGCCTTTAGATGACTACAACTTCTTGTCTGCAACCTCATTAGAGACTCTGGCACCAGACCCACCCAAGTCAAGCTATTCCTGAATTCCTGAGCCTCAGAAACTATGAGATAATTTTGTTCTTTTAAACCATAATAGATAACTAATATACCATTTATCATAATCTTGTTTCTGCTGTCATATTAAAATAACAATATTTGGAGGTTCCTGTTGAATGAGATTTCCTCTATATTATACATTCAAAAGTACATATTTTTATCAGAATATTTTATTTCAAGAGTTAACACTTTTTTTCAAAAAGTAAAAACAATATAGTTACTTCCCTGAGTATAAAGAACTAATCCTACAATAAAAGACAATTACAAAATTAAGCCATTAGAGTTACATAATTCTCTGCATTCAGTTATACTCTATTACAAATTTATTCTTAAAAAATCTCATGTATTTTGGGACTTTAATGTTTCAAACAAAACAAAACAACTCATTTTGCACTTGTGATGTTAAGGTATGTCTGATCTGTCTTTATCAAATTCCAGAGCAATCTTTAAAGCAGTGCTATTGAGGCCAACAGATTGCATGTTACATATGATAGAAACAACTATTCCTCTTGGGGGAACCTTGTTATGTATAGTTTCTGCATCCAGTTCTTCAGGAAGGACCAGCAGGACACTACTGGCACCCACTGCACCTCCAGTATGCGAGGCATAATGCCGTTGCTTCCTACAAGAACCATATGTTTGCTTCTTTTCCACAACACCCCATGCCATTGCATATTTACCCTCTTTATCCCAAGACATCTCTGTGTTAGGGACTGGCGTCCAAATCATAACCATTGTTTCTGGTTTGAGATATCCAGGTAAAAGATTTTCATTTGAGTTCTTAAACAGCCCGACTTGATAACCATACAGCATTGCATTCCCAAATTTCAGAAGGTCACCCACTGTAGACAGAAATCCACCACCAGCCCATTTATAGGAGTTATCCACGTAAGGTGTGTTGACAAGTCGTCTCTTTTTATTGTAAACATAAAATCTAAAATGAAATAAGAATGGTCATTAAAAATTTAATAGTCTATTATTGACTTTACACATGAAAACGAACAGGAAAATGTGTACATGAGACAGATTGTATTGCAATGTAGTGATCATACATTCTGAGAAACTAACCATTAATTTTCAGTATGATTCAGATCCTGATGAAACACAGATAACTGGGTAATTAAAGCAAAGAAAGCGGGTTGTTTTTCTGTTGACATGGCTCGCCTATGCTGAGGGTATCAAACTTTTAATACCTGCAAAAATGTATTGATTAATATTACACACGATATATTTGCCCCAGGCGTATGCAGAGACACCTGTCATTCAGTAGACATTCCCAGTCCTTGGGCTCGGTGAATCATGTGCCATGTGAGTTTTATAACGAAAAGTGCACACAGTGGGATGTTCAGGAATAAGGTTAATATATAAAGAGACTATATCTCCTGCTAAAAAACCATAGAAAAACTATGTAGAATGATATGATGTAGTACCTTCTTGGTGTAGTGGCAGAAGCTGGAGTTAGCAAGCCTCAGTTTGAATCCCAACTCTCACCCTTACTAGCTATGTTTATTTTATTTGATTAACAAACACTTAGTTCTTACTATGTGCCAGGAATTGTTCTAAGAACTATATAAATAAGAACTACTGTATTCTAGTAACAATGTTAGGAGGTAGATATTATTATAATTCCTATTTTACAGATGAAGAAACTGAGGCACAGAGAGTATAAGTAACTTGTCCAAGGTCACACAGCTTGTAAGTGGCAGAGTTGGATTCAAACTGAGAGGCAGTCTGTTGCCTCTCTGTTTCTGCATCCTAATTTGTAAAATGGAGACAAAAGTATCTACTTTGCGCTTAGGAATACATGTTTAAAACACTTTGCATATTTCTGGTAGGTACTTAATAACTGGTAGCTGTTATTTACTCGTGCACTCAACAGTCATTGATGGAGCACTTACCATGTGTCAGGTACTGTTTGGACGCTGGGATAAAGCGTTAAACAAAAGAGACAAAGTGCCTGACCTCATGAAGTTTCTATTCTAATATCGGGAGACTGTACCATAAATATTAGTAAATGAAATGAAATTACAAAATAATTACACAAAAAATGAAACTTGGCTCATGAGGATCCTTTCCTTTGAGAGTCATAATAAAATGGTGCTCTTAGGTTTTCAGTGTGCTGACTGTCTCACCTCTAATGATCTTCATTTTCATGCTACCTTGGGCTATTCATAAGCACTGTCAGACCTCAATCTCACCATCAATTTAAACTGTTTTATCTCTAAGGTCTCAAACTCAGAAATTTCTTCCTATGACAATGATTTCCAATCCTTCCAACTCTCCACCTGAACCTGCTCTCTGCCCTCACTGTGACCTCCATCTATTCTCCTTGACTATGACCAATTTTCCTAGGTCTTTCAGTTCCTACTGATTTCACCTGATTTTCTGTTCCAGCCTGAATTATATCATCAGCCATTTCAGCTATTTCAGCTGTGGTCTCACTAGCACATTTGGGTTCCTCACTCTCGTGACCTTACATTACACCAATCCACCAATCCTGAATAAATCCAGGTACCCTTCCCTTGGTTCCTTATCTGCCAAGAAAGGCTGTGGAAGTTCATATAACAAAGCTGAGCTGACTGATATCAGTTCATACTTTTGCTAAGGGTCTCCACTGCTGTTAGCATTCTTTCTGGTTGTTCCCTGGTATATAGTGGCTATTCCCAACCTCTTCCACTCAGTCCTCTACCCTAGCTCAGGCCCAGTCAACAGATAACTATATCCTTTGTTTTACTGAGGACATTGAGGCCATTTAGAGTCAGCTAGCAATGCCCATCTTTATCTTAAAATGTATTTACACCATCATCCATTATTTTTTCCTTCTCTCTCGTCACTTAAGAAATTTTCCTTTTGTTTTTAAGACTAAAATTCTACTACCTGCATTTTTGACTGCTTCTTTTTTGCCTCTACAACCTTGTTCCTCCAGTTACACTTCCTAGATTACTTTATCTCCTTGAAGTCCATTCTTCATGCAGAAGCCAGAGATTGTGTCTCCCTCTTTTCCTATACATTTGAAACCCTTCGATGGTTACCACTGTAATGAGAATACAGCTCAATTTTTTACTATGGCCTACAACACACTCAATGGTCCTCAACAGAGACAGTACCAACTTCCTAAGGGAAATTTTTGGAGGCATTTTTTTAGTTGTCACAATTATTAGAGGGCTCTTACTGACATTCAATGGATGGAAGTCCAAAGGTCCTAAATGTCCTGTGATGTATGGAAAAGTCACACCACAATGGGTACATTCTCCCATATCCTGTAACACCTTCAACTATCCCACCAGATATTCATATAAGTAAAAAATCTGTTTGCAACTAGCTGACCCTAGAACCTCTCCATTTCACATATAAACACAATGTACTTTTTGCACATTTTCACTCTGCAATGAATTTTTCTTGAATGTAACCATTGTGAAAACTGAAGAAAGACCACACTTTATTTTGTTCACAACTTTAGCCAGAGTTGGCCACCAAGGGCATGAGTTGAAGCATCAATACAATACACCTGTATTGGTCTACACTTACAGTTGTCACAATTACAATGCTTTTATGTATTAAATAGTTGCATCTGACCTTTATTATGACTCCTAACGTTGTCATGAGTAAACTTTAACATTTTGAAATATCATTTATTTATTATAAATTACATCCTTTTTCTTTTTTATATTTTAGTTAGAGTATTGAGTCTAGGTTATATGATCTATGACTTCCATTTCAGGATATTAAAGGAGGTGTTATAAAATATTTATTAAATTAAGGGGCAGTGGGCCTAATGGCATTGAGACTTACTGTCCAATATGATTTAGCCCCTGCTTACCTCTTTGATTTTATCACTTACAACATTTTGCCTTGCTTCTTTCATGCCAGACTTATTTCTGTATTTGCAACAAGGCAAGCTAGCTTTCCTTATCATTCATGTCTCAGCTCAACTGACATGGCCTTAAATGAATTTTTTTTTTTTTTATAAATTTATCTCACTAATAGTGAGCTTGTTTTTTTTTTTTTTAAGATTTTATTTTTTCCTTTTTCTCCCCAAAGCCCCCCGGTACATAGTTGTGTATTCTTCGTTGTGGGTTCCTCTAGTTGTGGCATGTGGAACGCTGCCTCAGCGTGGTCTGACGAGCAGTGCCATGTCCGCGCCCAGGATTCGAACCGACGAAACACTGGGCCGCCTGCAGCGGAGCGCGCGAACTTAACCACTCGGCCACGGGGCCAGCCCCTTAAATGAATTTATTTTAAGTAGATCCCCTGACGTCCTCTCCCTGTCACTCTATATCTCATTGCCCAGTTTTATTTTTTAATATAATACCTGAAATTCTTAGTTTACATGTTAGTCTGTCTCTTCCTGCAGAATGCAAGTTTCATAAGAGCAGGAACCTTATCTACCTTGTTCATTGATGATTCCCCTACCTAGAACAGTACTTGCCATCCACTAAGTGCTCATTAAACATATTGAATACATCAAAGCATCATTTGCTCGCCAAATATTTAATGGAGACACCTTGCAAGGCACTGGAGAGAGAAGTAAAACCAAACACTGTGGCTGTTCTCTCAAGGGGCTAACAGTCTTGCTGGATAGTTCTTAAATGTCAAAGAACCAGATGAATCGCCTGAGGATTTTGTTACAATGCAGAGTCTGCTTCAGTAGGTCTGGGGAGGGCCTGAAATTCTGCCATTCTAACAAGTTCCCTGGTGATGCCAATCCTGCTGGTCCCTGGACCTCACTTTGAGTAACACGTTGGGGGATGACTAGCAAGACAGAGGTGAGGAATCAAGAGCAAGCCTTGATGAAATAGCTGCCCACAGAGGCCAGCCTGGGAAGCAAAGTAGTTCAGTTTGGCTGAAGCAGAGAGCCTAAGGGGACAAGTGGCAAGAGATGATGCTGGAGGAATAGACATGGGATGTGGGGTAGGTCACAAAGGACTTTCTGTGCCATGCTAGGAACTTTGACTTCTTCACCTTAGTTCACAAAATGCTCTAGTTTCCTATATCCTAAGGAAAAAACCCCTTTTATCTTTTTATCCTTGTTACAGCTTCCAGCTACCAGTCCTTTCTCTCTCCTCATTTTACTGCCAAACTACATAAAATAGTCCATGCACTG